GTTAGTACACTACACCAGCTGGACCTGCTATTTCTGGCCAGGCTAGTCTTGAGCGCCTGACCTCAGATGATCCACCCGCCTCCACCTCCCAAAGTGCTGGGATTACAGGCGTGAACCCCGCTTGACCATCCCATGGCTAACATGCACCAGCCCATCTGCACGACGGGTCCTATGAGATCAGGAAAGATGGTAGCGGGCCCTGAGGTCCCCTGTGGCTATGGGCACAGACTGTGCAGTTAGACTAAAGCTCTTTCTGCATCTCAGAAGCCTTCCTTGGATCCCTGTCTCACCTGGGCCTCTCAGAGAGCCCAGCCTTTATGTCTGAGCTGTTGTATCATGAAGTGTGTGCTGTGGTCACTGGGATTACCTGGGAAGAGCTGGACTGTGCACCTGAATGGATTTGTGCCCATGCTGTTTGTCCCAGTTTGCCTCTGGTTTTACCCCACCAGGAGTTGCGCTGGAGGTTTGAGTTGTGCTGTAAGTTTGAGCTGTGGTGTAGGCTTGCATTGGGTTCTTACAGTTTCCTTTAAATCGCCCTTTTGCCATTTTCTCTCCCAAGATAAGTTTTCCAATCACCTGTCTTTCTCTCACCTACATCCAGACCTTCCTCCTTGCAATACCCAAACCTGTATTTTTTTTTATTTTTTTTATTTTTATTTTTTGAGACAGGATCTTGCTCTGTCACCCAGGCTGGAGTGCAATGGCACAATCATAGTTCACTGCAACTTCCAACTCCTGGGCGCAAGCCACCTTCCCACCTCAGCCTTCTGAGTAGCTGGGACTATAAGCATGAGCCATCACACCTGGTCAAACCTATTTTATTATCTGGAAATACCGTTGCTCTAAATGCTCTTTCTTCCTGAGCTAGATTACACACTGTATGGAGACAGGGGCTATGAGACTGATTCTCTTCTGAACTGCCCATCACTTAGTAGGAGTTCCACGTATATTTGCTCAAAAGGAGTGAATAAGAATATCCGTGCTGTTTGTGGGCACTGTTTACAAGAAAAAACAAGCCCAGCCCAGCCGCCTTTAAGTGGAGTATATGAGTTATTCTGAGGGATGCTGGTGATATGTGTGTGTACCTCCAGGAAAGCCTGATATGACCAGTAGGTTATGCTATAACAAGAGAACAACCTCCCTTAGACAGGCCTGTTCAGTGGTTGAGGGGCTTAGGATTTTATTTTCGGTTTACGTAGTGTAAAACATAACCCTGAAATGTAGGCTCCTTGAGGGCAGGGACTGCTTCCTATTATCTCTCTATCCTCTGCTTTAGTCTCAGTCATAACAGAATAAGGTTTAAGAGGTCGTGGTTTGGGTAGAAGAGTTGATAAGACTGACCCGATCTACTTGCAGTGCTGAGATGCAAACAATGATGACAGTGATCCATACCCTTGGGCTCATGCAGGGTGGCAGGCAATGTGCTGGGCTTCTACATGCATTATCTCTTTAACCCCATAACCACCTGTGGAGTCTATTTGATGGCAAAACTGAGGAAACGAGACATTACCTAGTATACTCAAGGACACATAGCCAGCACGCAAAGAGCCCAGGTGTGAATCCAGCTGTGACGCTGCCAAGTCCTGGCTCTTGAACACCTTGATCATCACATGGCTCACCAGAGGTGGGAGAGACTTGAGGTGCTTTCATTTTTTATGTCCTTGGTACATTTTTTGTTAAATGATAAACCAAAACAGTTACAAAAATTAAGGGAAAATTTAACAAACGAATATTTTTATTTATTTATTTATTTTTTAGACCAAGTCTTGCTCTGTCACCCAGGCGGGACTGCAGTGGGGTGATCTCCGCTCACTGCAACCTGTGCCTCCCGGGTTCAAGCGATTGTCCTGCCTCAGCCTCCCGAGTAGCTGTGACTACAGGCGTGTGCCACCATGCCTGGCTAATTTTTGTATTTTTTAGTAGAGACAAGGTTTCACCATGTTGGCCAGGCTAGTCTTGAGCTCCTGACCTCAGATGATCCACCCGCCTCCACCTCCCAAAGTGCTGGGATTACAGGCGTGAACCACCGTGCCTGGCCAAATGAACACTTTTAACACATATTTGCAAAGCAACAGTGCACAACGTGATCACGGGGTTTATTAATACTGTTCATTCTTAGTGCACTGTGGGTGCTGTGGGCTGTTATGGGTCGTAACAGTATAAAGGTGAAGACTTGCAGGACCGTGAAGACCAAATGACTTTCCTGGGACCCTTGTGAAAGGCTCTCAGAGCAAGACCTCTGCAAAAAGGAAAAGTGGGGCTGGCTTGCTCCTGGCCCCTCTCCAGGTCCCAACCATGACCTGGACTCGGGTGTGGGTGTCCGGTGATAACAGGCAAAACTGGAGGCCTCGCAAAGGGAGGAAGCGGTGGGAGGTCCCAGACCAGGCAGGATCCTTGCTCAACTATCCCTCATTTCTGCCAGCAGGACGGTGGTGTGCAACGACCCCGACATGACCCTGCCTCCGGCGTCCATCCCCCCGGACACCTCCAGACTGCGCCTGGAGCGGACGGCCATCCGCAGGGTTCCTGCCGAGGCCTTCAGGCCCCTGGGCCGCCTGGAGCAGCTGTGGCTGCCTTACAACGCCCTCAGCGAGCTCAACGCCCTCATGCTGCGTGGCCTGCGACGCCTGCGGGAGCTGCGGCTGCCTGGGAACCGCCTGGCCACCTTCCCCTGGGCCGCGCTCAGGGACGCCCCCCAGCTGCGGCTGCTGGACCTGCAGGCCAACCGCCTTTCGGCTGTGCCCCCTGAGGCCGCGCGCTTCCTGGAGAACCTCACCTTCCTGGATCTCTCCAGCAACCAGCTGATGAGGCTCCCGCAGGAGCTGATCATGTCCTGGGCTCACCTGAAGACCGGTATCTTCCCTCACAGCCACCACCCCAGGCTGGTCCTAGGTAAGAGGTGGCATCCTTCACCTGGGGTCTTAGGCAAGTTACCATGCTTCTCTGAGTTTCGATTCTTTATTTAGAAAATTGAAATCATACCTGCCTTCCAGGTTTAAGCAAAGACAGTGAGATCCACAAGAGCGGCGGGTTTAGGAGCTCAATCCACAAGCCAGACTGTGGCAGTTCACATCCCAGTCATAAGAGAGGTCTTTCCAGGTCACACAACCAGGAGAAGGCCCCTGAGACTCAATTTCCCAACTCAGAGCTGGATGGGTTAGTACACTACACCAGCTGGACCTGCTATTTCTTCGGTTCCTTCCTGTTCCTAACAAACCAACAGCTTACCATGTGAGCTAGATCTCCTTTCCTGCCCAAGGCACCTGCCTGGTCCTGAGAATGACAGAAGGGGCATAATTCATTCTGGAAAATTGATCTGAATTATACAACTCATACATGAATAAATACAAACGTTTAAAATATTCAGAAGAGGTTAAAGACCCTTCTGTCCTCTCTCCCTATTCCAACCCGTTCCCAAAAGTAGTTACTATTATCATATTTATATGCAAGCTCCCTATCTGTTCAGATACATTTCATATGCATATGTATGTACATATATATACACATACATACATGGATTAAGAAAAGTTATGTGTGGGTTTTACATAAAATTTTGTCATACATACTAACCAACACTAACTTTTTGACCCAACACTGTATCTTGTAGATCTTTCTAAATTTCTACAAATGGATCAAGTTCATTTTTAAAACTACTGCACAACATTCTATAGTACACCATATCTGCACTATGTTATAAACATATTTATACTATAGTTTATTTAGCCATTCCCCCTTTAGTGGACTTTTAAATTGTGTCCATTATGTTGTTAACACCTATGATGCAACAGAGAACATTCTTGGCAATACGTTCTTGTGCACATCAATGTTTCTCTAGAATAGGAACTGAGAAGTGGAATTATTAGGTCACAGAGTGTGCATATTAGACATTTAAAAACACATCTGGGCCGGGTTTGATGGCTTACATCTGTAATCTCAGCACTTTGGGAGGCCAAGTGGGTGGATCACTTGAGGTCAGGAGTTTGGGACCAGCCTGGCCAATATGGTGAAACTCTGTCTCTACTAAAAATACAAAAATTAGCCAGATGTGGTGGTGGGCACCTGTAATCCCAGTTACTTGGGAAGCTAAGGCAGAATAATTGCTTGAACCTGGAAGGCAGAGGTTGCAGTGAGCGGAGATTACTCCACTACACTCCAGCCTGGGCAATGAGTGAGACTCCATATTTTTGAATGCCTTCCAATTCTAGGTGCTGGGAATACAGCAGAGAACAAAAGAGATGAAAACATATATACTCATGGAACTAACAATTAAAATGGCCAAAATGTTTAACTTTTGCCAGTCTGGCAAGTGAAAGCTTCACTGTTGTTTAACTTTGCCTTTTACATTCATTCTTTCTGGCCCTATTGTAATAAAATGAAAGGCAGGTAGCACACCACTGGAGCCAGGCATTGATGAATCTTGGGTTGCAGATGTATCATTAAGTGCATTTAACCAATGACGCAAGGCAGCAACCTCTGGCGAGACAGGGTAAGGGGGAGGTAGGAAAAGGAACTGGCACCCGTGGGTTGTGCTCAAAGAGACCTGAGAGACATGAATATCTGGTCAGATCTGAATGCACCCACCCCAACACTTTGACGCATGTATTAAATATATCTATGTGAATATATAAGATATCATTGATTGTTAGATATACTATTAAATTCATTAAGTCTTTGGGGACTAAAAGGAGATCGTATCAAGTGCATTTATCTTGCATTTCAGTAATGTAACCCTGTAAGAAGGAATTGTGCCTTAGAATTGAGGACATATGGTACCTCATTTATATGCACATGGTACCCCTCTATCTCTATAATGCTCTTTGACAGAGTGGGTACAATGACCTGCTTTCGGCTCTATAAGAATGTTCAATTTTAGAGTAAAGACAGTAGGGGATATATCCCAGGATTTGATTTTCTGGCCCTTTCACCCTGCTGTTTACGCCCATTTGAGCCATGTCAAAGGGTCTGTGGCTCAGAGCAGCCGCCTTCATTGCTGGGATGATGCTGAAAATACCATTTATACTGGGAGAACTGGCATTAAGGATCAGGGGTCAGTGATGCATTTCTAGAAATTGATTTTGTCATATTGCGATTATTGTGGAAATACTACCTGGCCAGTGGCCTGAAAGGATGAGTCCGAGAATGGCAACAGTAACTGCCAGTTCTGTCAGGATGCTGTATATCTACCCAGTACTTAAAATGATTTATTTTTGGCCGGGCGTGGTGGCTCAAGCCTGTACTCCCAGCACTTTGGGAGGCCGAGTCGGGTGGATCACGAGGTCAGGAGATCGAGACCATCCTGGCTAACACGGCGAAACCCCGTCTCTACCAAAAAATACAAAAAACTAGCTGGGCGAGGTGGCGGGCGCCTGTAGTCCCAGCTACACGGGAGACTGAGGCAGGAGAATGGCGTAAACCTGGGAGGCGGAGCTTGCAGTGAGCTGAGATCCGGCCATTGCACTCCAGACTGGGCGACAGAGCAAGACTCTGTCTCAAAAAAAAAAAAAAAAACCACAAAGATTTATTTTTTATTATGTTTAAAGCAAGGCTGAAAAGAAAGTAATGCTATTATTTAACACAAAAAATCAAATTTCAGGTCATATTACTAGCAAGGCAAGGAACTGGGCCCGGAGGCCAGTTCTGCTGACTCTGAATGAGGACCTGCCTGTCCTCCCAGAGGGGAAAGGGTGCTGGGCTTGAGGACCTTGAATATCTATCCGAATATCTTGTCTTCTTTTTCACCCCTGCAGGGCTACAGGACAACCCCTGGGCATGTGACTGCCAACTCTATGACCTGGTTCATCTTTTGGATGGCTGGGCCCCAAACTTGGCCTTCATTGAGACCGAACTGAGATGTGCCAGCCCACGCAGCCTGGCCGGAGTGGCCTTCAGCCAGCTTGAACTGAGGAAGTGCCAGGGCCCAGAGCTCCATCCAGGAGTGGCCAACATCAGGTCCCCTTTGGGTGGCACAGCATTGCTACGCTGTGGAGCTACCGGAGTCCCTGGGCCCGAGATGAGCTGGAGGAGGGCCAATGGCAGGCCCCTTAATGGTACAGGTATATGAGCTACAAGGATGCTGCACTGAGACCCCAGACTGGGGAGAGCAAAGCAGTGCCCCAAATGGGGATTTGGCAGGGCCAGAGGGAGGTTGTCTAAGCAAAGCTCGCTTCCATCTGTCTGAGTTGAGTTTGATGGGGGGCTTCCCAGAGGCAAGTCACTGTGACAACAGATTCAACAATGACAATGGCTCTTGACCTGTCCTATCATATCCCATCAGCCACTCTATAGAGACTGGGGGCCCACACTGAGAGAACAAAAAGCTGACTTTTTGGTGGAAGATCCTCTTTTAGTGTATTAATTTTATAATAAGTTTACCAGTTGTAAATATTAAGCCAGAATTACCTGGAGTAATTAATGATGTGAGCTACCATCTATCGAGCTCTTCGTGTGGTTCTAGCACAGTGCTAAGTGTATTATGTACATAATGACATTGAATTTCAGAGAGCAACCTAGTTTTCCTTCTTATTTTGCATATAAGTAAACTGAGGCTCTGAGAGGCTAAATGCTACATTACACAGCTCATATATGGAGGAGCTGCAGTTCCAGCACAATCTAGCTGGTCACCTTTGCAAAATTCCAGGGCCCTTAAGAACATAGTGGATTGGCTAGGCATGGTGGCTCACACCCAGTCCTCGCAGTTTGGGAGGATGAGACAGGAGGATCGCTGGAGTCTAGGAGTTACCAGCATGGGCACCATAGTGAGACCTTGTCACAAAAAGCAAACAAACAAACAAAAAACTGCTGGGCATGGTGGCATGTGCCTGTGGTCCCAGCTACTCAGGAGGCTGAGGTGGGAGGATCACTTGAGCCTGGGAGTTCCAGGCTGGAGTGAGCCATGGTCACACCGTTGCACTCCAACCTGGATGACAGAGCAAGACCCTATCTGAAACAAGCTAACAACAACAAAAAAACCCATAGTGTGAGCTTGTCAGACTTAGAAGGCATCATTCTTAGGCTCTGCCTCAGCCTGGGGCTCCAGAGGCTCCCCACCTATAAGCCCAAAGTAATACTGATCCCCTTGACTAGTCTAAGAAAAGTTGAATGACTACCAGTGTTTTCTCAGGATGACACCTGAGTGTGCACCAGCTAGGGCTGTGAACTTGGCCCTGAAAGGCAGCTTGGGGCAGATGGGCCCATTTGTTCTCCCTCACATGCCTGTTTTCCTCCTAGTGCATGAGGAAGTCTCCAGTGACGGCACGAGCTGGACTCTGCTGGGCCTGCCTGCAGTGTCCCACCTTGACTCCGGAGACTACATCTGCCAAGCCAAGAACTTCCTGGGAGCCTCTGAGACTGTTATCTCCCTGATTGTCACTGAGCCGCAGACTTCCACAGAGCACAGCGGGAGCCCAGGGGCACTATGGGCAAGGACAGGCGGTGGAGGGGAAGCCGCTGCTTACAACAACAAGCTGGTGGCCAGGCATGTCCCCCAGATTCCCAAACCCGCTGTCCTGGCCACTGGACCCTCTGTGCCCAGCTCAAAGGAGGAGCTGACCCTCCAGCACTTCCAGATGGATGCCCTGGGAGAGCTCTCTGATGGGCGGGCGGGACCCTCAGAGGCACGAATGGTGAGGTCTGTGAAGGTGGTGGGAGACACTTACCACAGCGTGTCCTTGGTGTGGAAGGCACCCAAGGCTAAGAACACAACTGCCTTCAATGTCCTCTATGCGGTCTTTGGACAGCACAGCATGCGGCGGGTGATTGTACAGCCTGGGAAGACCAGAGTGACTATCACTGGGCTGTTGCCCAAGACCAAGTACGTGGCGTGTGTCTGCGTGCAGGGCCTGGTGCCCCGGAAGGAGCAGTGTGTTATCTTCTCCACCAACGAAGTGGTGGATGCTGAGAACACTCAGCAGCTCATCAATGTGGTGGTGATCAGTGTGGCTGTCGTCATTGCCCTGCCTCTCACGCTGCTTGTCTGCTGCGGTGCTCTTCAGAGGCGCTGCCGAAAGTGCTTCAACAGGGACTCCACTGAGGCCACAGTTACCTACATCAACCTAGAGAGACTAGGCCACAGCGAGGATGGCTTGGAGGAGCTGTCCCGGCACAGTGTCAGCGAGGCCGACAGGCTTCTGTCAGCTCGTTCCAGTGTGGACTTTCAGGTCTTTGGAGTCAAAGGGGGCAGGAGGATCAATGAGTACTTCTGCTGAGGGACGTGCCTCCACAATTCACACACCTGCCCGCCCACTCTCCTTCTTTAACTCTGACACCTGAGTACATGATCACCCACTCTTACCTGCTCGGGTACCTGCTTACACAGATACTTACACACAACAACAGCAGCAGCAGCTACTGCAACAACCACTAACACTTGTTAAGCACTTACTACGGGCTAGAAAGTGTTCTAAGTGCTAAATTCTTGTCACAATCATTTGCAGCAGGCACCACTATTCTCTCCATTTCCTTGGGGTGGGGGGTTAAGAAACTTGCCTGTTTCAGTGAGCTTTTGCTGTATAACAAATGAAAGCAAAATCTTAGTGATATATAGCAGTGAACACTTATTTTCACACTCACAGGCCTGTGGGTTGATTAGGATGGCTCTGCTCTGTGTGTTTCATTTGGAGCCTGGGCTGGAGAGTAGCAGTGGGTACCTGGGGCAGGTTCCTCTCATGGTGCAGTTGAATGATAATAGAGGAATGATTTTTCATGCAATGCCTGTTAAGTTCTTAGTTCAGAATTGGTATACTGCCACTTCTGTCCATATTCTATCTGCCAAAGCAAGTCTCATGGCCAAACCCAAGTTTAACGGGGCAAGTAAGGACACTTCTCCCCTGGAGGTGATGGTAGAGCACGGAATATGTGCTAAACAGTGATTTAATCTTCATTGACCAGGATTACACAGCTAGGCAAATTTAGCTAACTCTGAGATTTGGACCACGCAGTTGGGATCCACGGTTAAAAGTCCTTACCATTCTCATATACTGCACCTTGATTACATTAATGCTAATTCATAGGCACTCACACACACCATCTCTCTATGCATTAGCCATACTGGTAGTTACCCATCCTCACTAACACACACACCACACTCATAACCCACTGTGCCCTCACTGAATTCTAATATTTATTCTCAGAGTGCTATTCTGCCTAGAGACAATCATTTGATTTTTCGATAAATGCTAGAGTTTGAGACAATGCCCATTTGCTCATTTGCTTTCAGAATGTCAGGCTGGAGGGATCCAAGAGATCTCATTACACTCTATGCTGTCTGGCACATTCACTTCTGCCCCCATGCAGCAGCCTTTGTGATTCTTACCAAAACCTACCTGGGTTCTTGAGAGTGTCTCAGAGCCTTCCTGGTTGCTCAAGTTGTTTCAAAGGAAAATTCCTGTTTGCTTTTTCTTAGAGCTAGGAAACCACTGAGATGTTATCTCTGTGCACTGGGGAAAGTGAATGTTCCCAGCAGAAGGCTCAATTTGTTTCTTGTTTATAGAGCTGATCTCTGGCATGAGGAGCATCCAGGGTACCTGTGCCAAGTCCTTTGGGTAGCAACTGAAGAAATTTTGGGACAGCAAGTGATCAAAGAAAAGTGTTTTGCTAATATTATGCAAGAAACTCCAAGTATTTGCAAGTATTATGTCACGTGATTTATTAGATATAAGCCAGTGTGATGCAGTGCTTCCTAAAATTACTGTACTCCCCCTCACATTTACAAAAGACCTTACCACATATTTCACTCAGTTTTCTCACATGTGATACTCATGACAACCCACTATGGAAGCGGGGCTGTTTGATTTCACAGACGAGGACCAAAGAGTTGAATGATTTATACAAGGAAGTGATGAATTCTCCTTCAGAATCCAGTTCTCTGACAACTTTCTCATCAGGCTGAGGGTCTTTATTCAGTATCAGTCCCTGCAGTGTGGTCCACAGCAGGTTCACTACAGAAATTAACTTTTTAAAAATCGCCGAAACCTGGGATCAGAACCATGAAAGCACTTATGCACATGAGCATGGAATTTCCATTCTTGGATATCTTCTGCTACCACCTGGAGGGTGCACCTGACTATAACTTGTGGGCCATAGACATTGGTAAGAGAGGCGGTTTTGTTGAAAGATGACAAAGACACTGTATACATTGGGAGCCAGCAAACTTTTTTCCTGTAAAGAAAGGCAAATAGTAAATATTTTAGGCTCTGTTGCTACTACTTAACTCTGCTGATGGGATGCAAAAGCAGCCATAGACAATATGTAAATTAGTAGTTATGGATGTCTTCCAATAAGACACTTTTTACAAAAACGGTTGACAGGCTGGATTTGACCCTGAGACTGTAGTTTGTTTACCCCTTATGAAGATTTAGAAAGGCATTTCTGGTGAGTTTTTGGAGACCCAAGACTCAGTTCTGACTGTTTGATAAATGAGAGTGATAGACACCCCCAAAATTAGGACAAATGTAAACACAGTAGATGAAAGCAGTCGTCTGTTGAAGTGATCAGGGCGTTGCCTTTAAATGATTGTGTGAACAATCTTGATGGGACAGTTATTGACCTAAAGACAAGTAACATGTAGCCAGTTTTACTGAGTCTTGTTTGAAGAAAAATCAGGAACTTAAAAGCAAGAAATCTGTAGTATTTATCTGATGTTAACAGAGAGAGAAAGAGAGAGAGAGTTCAATCTTGCCAACAATCCAATGGTTTATTGGGACCTATTTTCATGGTCTGTACGGAAAGGCCTCTGATATGGTTTGACTGTGTCCCCACCCAAATCTCACCTTGAATTGTAATAATCCCCACCAATCAAGGGTGGGGCCAGGTGGAGATCATTGAATCATGGGGGCAGTTTCCCCCATACTGTTCTCATGGTAATGAATAAGTCTCATGCGATTTGATGGTTTTATAAATGGAAGTACCTCTGCACAAGTCCTTTTGCCTGACACCATGTAAGACATGCCTTTGCTCCTCCTTGCCTTCTGCCATGATTGTGAGGTCTCTCCAGCCATGTGGAACTGTGAGTCCCCTAAACCTCTTTTTCTTTATAAATTACCCATTCTTGGGTATGTCTTTACCAGCAGCATGAAAATGGACTAATACAGCCTCCAAGATGATAAGCCTCCCAATACTCATCTGTCAACCTTCCTTTGTGTATCCTGTCATCCCTGGCTTGCTCTTGTAGAGAAGAATCATCCTGGATTATGCCCATGAATATTCAAGTCATGGGAAGAAACACATTCTTATTGTAAAAAATAAAATGATGTCTGGCTTACCTTAGTCTTTTAGTATGTGAGTCTGATGAGTATGAGTTAGTCCTTGAAAACTGAATGCCCTCTGAGTATCCTGGCAAAAGAATTTCTGGCCTTCCAATGCTGAAGACCAATTTGGGCCATGGTGAGGCTGCAGCATAGTTGGCCTTGGAAGCCTGGTTTGGAGGCTGGTTGGAATCATAGCATCCTCATTATTTCTTTTTATGACTGCAACATGGTTATAGTGTTCATGATTAAGCAGAGAATATGTCCAAGGTCACTTGCCCATTGTAGTTGCTGGGCACAAAAAGGCAAATACAGAAATTGTGCTCTGGAAAGTGAATGTGGGCTATCAAACCTAGCCTATCAATCAAGGGATTCAGTGAGCAGTTTGTCCAGAGGACAAGAGCTGGAAATTTTTGTCTTGATTATCATATAATCTAACAAGGACAAAAATCAACATACAAGTACCTGAGCATATTTATTCACAAGGGCATTGTAGTTAAGATAGGTTAGATTTATGCTTAGGCAACCATTCCCAAATGTCCCCGGCTTAACACAGAAAAATGTATTCCTGTTCCACAGACTCTACTTAAGTTTGGGAAATGCAGAAGGAGGGAGGGCTCTGCTTCACTTATTTACTCAAGGACATGGCTGGGAAGGCTCTACCATTTGGAATGTCAGTGATTGCCACAATAAGGAAAAAGATAAATTGGAAGATTGGGTTAGGGCTTTTCAAACCTCATTTCCTGTAACATTTCATTAGCCAGATCAAGAGTCTTGTAGCCCACCTATTTCAAGGAGGCTTTGAAAGGACATCTTTTGTATGTCTGCCACAGGCATACCTCAGAATGTGGGTAGCTGAGGCAGCATCTCAGACATGCTAGCAGCAGAGGATGGGGGTGGGAAAGAGTCCTAGCTTTAGAGAAAGGGAGTACAGCATGTCTGCTCCCTGATAGGATGCCCAGTTCTTTGTCTGAGGTATCCCAGTGTTTTACTAATATTGGGAAGGTGAGTGGCATTTTCCAATTGAATAGACAGGACACTCTCCTATTAAGATTCTATTAAGACAAGCCAGGGAGCTGCCTTCCTGAAGCCATTTATATCTAAGCAATTCACAAGCACAGAGTAATTCCTCCCCCATGACTCTGTCTCTATGGAGAATTTTAAGAGCCTAGTTCTGAAAAGCATCCTGCAAGAGGGAAGATGGGTTATAATATTCCCAGACCCTCTTGCCATTTTTGTTAGGGTCTCTTGAGTTTAGAGACTACACTTAACCACAGGTTGTTTAACATAAATAACTTGACCCACGCTAACTTTAATTGTCCTGGTCTCCTGCCTCCGTTTCCAAGAGAGCCACTCCCTGTGTTCATATGCCAAATAAGGAAACCAGAGAATAAGGGGGTCAGGAAAGGAGTAGGGGGCAGTAGAGAAGTGGCCTAGGTGATTCTAGAGATAGCATGCCAGTGGGTGTGCTTCACGAGCTTCCCGCAGACTTCTGGGAAGTCGGATGGAGCTGGATTCATTTGGAAAGGCTGGCATGAGAAGGAAAGACAGGAAACTGTGGGGAATGGAGGACTCTTAAGATCTTTATCCTTTGGGGTAAGGGGAGAGAAAGGAATCCACTAGTGGTTTGGAATAGTCATGAATTAAATCACATATTTCCATGAAACAAGCCTGGCAAAGCCTTAGCAAATCTGGTAGGGTACTTTGGAGTGATAATTGCTCATCAGAGTTTTCCCCCATCAGGGCAAACTGACCAGGCCCTCGCCACCCTCAGTCACTGGATGTGCCTTGGGAAGAACATGACCTCATGCAAGCACTCCTTGCAGCTAAGCATCCACTCATCCCTTGAAGGGGGATCTAGGCAGCACATCGCCATATGTATGACAAACTTTGTGCCGATAGCTCTTGTTTTGTTTTGGATTTTTACCTTGAGACAAACTCCAGTGATCCAGCCAGGTTTTAGAGTTAGACTCTTTGGAAACTCCTGCAAATATATCTGGCTTGGATAGAAAGCTTGGAGTGTAATCAGCTTAGTTGGTGACCCATTTCCCCCCTCACTGGTTAGCTAAGCGGATTTTCTTTGCTGAGGCCTTTTGTAGGGTACGATGTATATCATGAGTCTTAAAGGAACTGATGGAATTTCAATATTCAACTGGAAGTGCCCTAGTTAATAAGGATGTAGACTTTTCAGATCTTAAAGAGTTTGTCGGTGGGAGGAGGATTCATGGGCACCAACTGTGTGCTAGGTGTTGTATTTAACATAATCTCAAAATTTTCTAAAAATATGGCTGGATATAGTGGCTTGCACCTGTAATCCCAGTTACTTGGGAGACTGAGAAGTTTGAGAACAGCCTGGGCAACAGAGTGAGACCCCGTCTCTGAAAAAATATAAAAATTGAAAAATAATGAAAAATAAATTCCTGGAAATATAATGAGGTATTTGTTACTATTCTCACTATG